CACTGAGTTTTATAAATATGAGCATGATAGTGTAGAATAATCATATCCAAGGACCAGTGGTGGATTTCAAAAAAAATTGGAACCTCTTCTGTAGGCCTGCTTTCCGGGTCCACTGGTGGAACCTCTTCTAACCGGTTTGGTAGATTTGACGAACCGGTTCTACCGAATAGGTGCAAACTGATAAGAACCCACCTCTGGTTTGGTTGAACCGCTAGCTCAGAAGATCACGAGCAAGTGGCCCTGTGTTTTATCTACCTTTATCTTCTCAACTGAATCACGCGGCAGTGGATTGCTGCACCTTAGCTGTTTTCCTTCCCAAGCAGTTATCTGGAAGATAAGCAAGCAAAGCGAGCAAGCACATGCAAAGCGCATGCTCAGCAAACCAGTTGTTGAACTGGTAGGATCCCACCCCTGAGGGAGATACGCAGGAATCATTGCTTAGGCAAAAGGAGCTCAATATTAAGTTCAGAAGAGTGAGCTAACATTTGAAGTTTAGGGGGAAGCCTTCCTAATTCAGAGGAGTGTAAGAAGGAGGAGAAGAAGGGAGTATAGCCCAATCAGATTTGCAATATTCTGTCATTTTATTCAACTTTGATAAAGATAGTTTCAGTATTTGTTGACTAGGAGTTGGTTTGTAGGCTACTTGACAAGCAAATGCCCAACTCATTTCAAGACCATAATGTCAGGAATGTTTTGCAGGTCCATCTCCCAAGAGCTCCCAAAACTCTGAAGGGGGCTTCTTCAGACAATTAAAGAAATCTCAAAGGAGTATTGTTCCCATTACTCTTTATTTACATTAGTAGTAGTATAGCATTTATTGTCATCGTACAAAATAAATACAATGAAATTGGTTAGGTAATTCAGGTAACAATATACACTTGAAAGTGACTGCTAATTTCATAGATAAGAACATAGTGCAAATATTAACCAACAGACTCTCCAAAGTTAACAGTGGTAGATCCAATAGAGCACGGGTGTCAAACTCGCCACGTCATATTGCCGTCACGTGGCATTTTGCGATGTTTTTCCCATTTGCAGAGCTGGGATGGGCATGGCCTGCATGTGATGCATCTTGCCTATGGGCCGCCAGTTTGACACTCCTGCAAGAGATGAACAGATGCTGCTAGTAGGGCCATCGTTGTGTTTTCTTGATCCAGTTCAGTCTTGCAAGTACCCATTATCTTAGGAACTAGGAATTAACTGGTTGCAGATGTGGATTGGGCACAAGGAACTATTTTATTCTCATCCCCAAAATGTAAATAACCCTAGTTATCTCCATAATCCAATCCAGAACAGCAAGTAATCTATTTTGCCAATGAAATACTCAGATTTTGCAGATGGGTTTGGGAAGGAAGAGGAACATAGACCAAATGTCTATTTGACATGTAGCCATCTGAGATCTGAGATGGCTACTTCTCAAACAGACATCGGGTCTAGTTCCTTCTTCCTTCCCAATCACCTTTCCAAATCACCATCATCTGAACTAACATTTTGGTCTCCAGGAGAGATGGGATGGTCAGGGCAGTTCATGATTATAAGCTCCTTAACCAGTTAAAGTTAGGTGCCCCCATGATCTTTTATCCAAATACTAATCAAGTCCAATCCTGTATGATTTATTTATTTTGAGGTCAACCAAGGTGTATGTTGCTATCAACTGCTTCATTTCCTTCTGTAAAAGTACTTGGAGAAAACACTGTATGCCTCACTTATTTATTATCCTTCTGTTTTTCAGTTTCGTACCAGATCCTTTACTCAACTAGCTCAGTTTAAAGGTCAACCATGCAATGAACCTTTGGTGGAGTCACGGCCGTGTTTTCCCACAAAACTTTGCAACATGGAGGAAACAAACTGTGGCAACAAATTCCATTGTGAAAACGGTAACTCGATAGTCTATTCCTTTTATGATTTTTTTTCCCCATGAACAGTTTTATTGCCAAGTGAGAAAATACTGTTTTATCAACAAAACAAAGTCTGACACCGACCCCCACCCCCTTCTCCCCGCCTGAATGTCACAAACTAGTGAAACAACTCTCAGGAACTCTTTCATAATTTTAAGTGCATTCTGAAGAATGATTCGGGCTGATAGGATAATAGTTACCATCAAGATAAACAGTATGTAAAGCTGCTCTGAGAGATTTAATAGCAGCAAATAAAAAGATTCTGAGCTTAGCAGGACTCCTTTTCCCTCCCAAAGAGTTTCTTTAAAAGAAAAAAAAATCCTTTTTTTAAGGAAACAAATTAATAGTTTAAAAGTATCTATTATTGTCTGAGTGCTGTTCAGATAGAAACAGCAAGGAAAGAATTGTTATTGTTAGAAAAGCAAAGCA